ACTGTATATATATTGTTTATTGTTTATTCTTAATGCACCTTTTTCCTCCTTGTTTGCACCTTCTTTGACTTCTATGCCAATATGTGACAAGTGAATTTCTCCGCTGTGAGATCAATAAAGTTAATCTAATGTAATCTAATCTAATCTATATCTCGAATTGTCTTTAGATGACATAAAAAATATGATATTGAATCTTAACAACAGCAGGCAATAATAGCTAGACTTTTGAAAAAAAAAAAAAAAGACTTTAATGTGCATCGAAGGAATGTGATGAGTTTTTAAAACTTTTAGTCATCATCAATCCATTTTCTGCCATGCTTATCCCAGGCGGGGTAATGAGCGGTGCTGGTGCCTATCTCCAGCTGTCTACGAGCGAGAGGGGGGGTACACCCTGGACAGGTTGCCATTCTACCACAGGGCAATTTATCTCTTTTTCAATTTATCTCATAATAAAAATGTCAAATTATCATTATTTTTTTTTAACTGTACTGAAATACCCTATTTCCTGGTGACAGTATCTGTAATGCAAGCAGTGGAGACTTCAAAAGGTCATCCCTCCAGTCAAAGAGCAAGGCCTATACAAGATAAACCTTGTCTGATTTAGAAAGAAGATGATACTGGACGAGAGAAGCCAGCAGCAGCTTCAGCTGAAGACAAAAAGGCTGTAAAGCCAGAGCTGCCCTTAGTCCTTCGGAAACCAATCCAAATGTTATCTTTATTTTGTCTAAGAGGGCCAAGGGACAATAATCAATTCACTTCTCACATAAGATACACAGCCTTAAGCAATAGAGGTTGTGCCCCCTCTCAAAAACACAAGTAAAGGTGTCTTATTGCTTTTCTTCATGTGTTTTATGGAAGAAGAGTGTTGAAGTGTGTTGAAGGGGGTGCAGTGGATTCACATACAGAAGCTTCACTCCTAACACAGCTGTCCTCCGTTTGAGTCCTGAACCTAGAGATCTTTGCTAAATGTATTCCCCCTTTCCATGCACCCTAGGTAATTCTGCTTCTCAAAACAAATTTCACTAGTTCCACCAAAAAATAAGATTAATTAGTATCTACTCTGAGTTTCAGCCATTTGATCTAAAAAAAATTGCAAGCAGAGACATCCAGATTTTGTGCAGTGTTGATAAAGCTGTCACACAACACATGCTGTTTTCATGCACTAGTGCCTATGGTTATTTTAAGATTAGTAACTGATCTTCTTCATTCATATAACGGAAAAGCATAATTACATATCTATGCAGACAGTAAATATATTTGATCAGAATCAGACATACTTTAATAATCCCAGACGGAAATTAATGATTACACCTTTGTTATAGAATTAAAATCTGAATATATGTTAATCTACTTTATACACATTGAACTCTAATAATACAAAAATTTAACTGAAATTGATTTGACTGTCTTATATTAATAATTAGTCAATATTAGGATGCACAGCTTTAGTTACCACTCAAAGCTGTGTATCCTGTGAAATAGGTTGAATCCTCAACTAAAAAACAACAATATAAGAGGAATTTTACAGGGTTGCACTGTAGTCGACCAAAATCCCGGACGATTTTGAAATTCCCCCCGGACATGTTTTTAGGTATGAAAAGTAGGACATGTCCGGGACAAGGAGGACATCTGGTTACCCTAATATATCAAGATTTTGATGTTTTAGTGAGTGAGTGCTTGTTGCTATGATGCGTCTTTGCTCCGCAGCTTCGCTCGTTGTAAACCAACCAATCAGCGCACAGCTCATCTAAATATTCATGAGAATACCATAAAAGGAAGAAAACCTGTTGTTTAATTCTGGGGCTCTTAACCAGGTTTGCATTAGGGCTCATAGAACAACACATATGCCAATTTCAGCCCAACCAATGTTACACACCCTATTAGAGACCTTAAGGACCAGAACCAAATACCCAATATAATCGTTCTACGACCTCTTTAAAGACAATCAGTACTTTTTATTGCAATAGAAAAAAAACAACAATCTTTGACAAAGAATTTTGTTGATACGGTAAGGCACAAAACATGATTAACATTGGCCTTGTATTTCCAAGCTGGGGAGCACTTTTAGAGCAGAGGCATCTGTGCCCTGACTCAGAGACAGATTTCCTCCTCTTGGGCTAACGACTAAAAGCATGTTGGTGCAACAGTCTTGTTAGAATATGTTGATCCAACTCAATGTGATGCCCAAATTGTGGCATGTGGGTTAAATTGTTGGAGTTTGACTAGCAATGGACCCAGCATTACTGTTAATGTAAGGATAGTAGCCACTACCAAGCTAGCCTAATACAGTTAGTATTGTGTAACTGGGTTTGTGAGCTGCCCGCCATGTTTCTTATGTACATTCAGGGAATTATCTTTTTAACAAATAATTTAAAGTTAAATTGGATAACTGGTTCTTGTAGTTTTTATTTCTTTATTATAGTAAGGAGCGTGATATATTAGTTGTCTCTGCTTCATGTATTTAGTGTAGTTACGCTGCCTTTACACCAACAGGCACTTGTGTTATCTCTTTCGTTGTTTCTCAAAACAATGAGAGAAAAGAAACAGATCTCACATTTTATATGAAAATAAATATAGAAATATGTAATAAAAAGAGTAATTGGTTGTTTTACAAGCAACATAATGTGTATTCATACTAAATTTCACAGAAGCGATTGATCTTATTACCTCCACCAAGGAAGTTATATTTTTAGTCGTCTTTGCGTATGTTTTTTTCAAACTAACTAAAAAGGTTGTGAAAAAATTCAATTTTGGTGATGATCCAGACCGCCATCTGGATCCAGCTATTTTCTTAATTATTATATAAAAATATTAACTTATGGTGGAAGTCACAATATGTCTATGGAATGTTAGCTACTTGGCTGGGGTCTGCACTCTTCGAGTGTTTTTCTAGTTAATAGTTAGTATAAGCAAATTACCTCTTTTGTCATGTTGTTTAGCTCAACAGAATTTTGCTTTAAAACTGATTTTTTTTGGTCTATAAGCAGTGCTGAACAGTGCACTTAGTGGTGATAATGTGCTTATTTCTCCTTTAACATCCCCTTTATGCTGGGATGTTCGTGAGTTAATGGAACAACAATGATGAATATGAGAAATCTACTGTATACCAATAGTAAAAAGCACCTTAAACCTCAAAAGATATGTCTGAACACAGATACCCCCTAGGCCTTTGCATTAAAGCGGTAAGAGTGGCACATTTACTATATTCATTGAGGTCTAAAAAAATACTAAACAGGTTTTTTAAAGAATTAGTTTTGTGCCGATGTATACCAGCATAAATTATTTGGATTTGCATACAGAAAGATAGAAGAGTTCTGGAAAAATAACATGCATGAATTCCATGAAAGTCTATCTAATTAGCATTTGTGTTCTTACATTGTGTCTCCAGGCTTTCACACAGTTCAGTCTTAGCCTCTCCGTTGGGTCTGAGTCCAGCCTTCGGGTTGAACTTGTTGGACATGGTGGCAGCTGTAACCACGGCCTTCAGGCTGCGAGTGCGCTTTGGCACATTCTGCTCTGGGTGTAAAAGAATCACATAGACCTTGGGCATGTAGAGCAACCCGAGGGACACAGAAGCACTCAGGCTCACAGAAATGGTTAGTGTGGTTGTTTGGATGTACATCTGCAGGAGAGAAACACCAGACAAACAGATTAAGCAAACAGACTTTACTAAATAGCCAGCATACAGAATGAGTGACATCTGCTTTAAGTCATTAGAAACAAAGCATGCAATGAGCCGTGGTTAGACCAGGCTGTGTTTTGGGGTATTTTCTACTTTGTTAATAGTTGAGGGGTTGAAAACTATTTAATCCTAGCTATGTGATGACACATGATTTAAAGCAGCAACTCATTTTCATTTATAAAGTGTGCACTGCTGAGCAAGTCAAGGCCAGCATGTTTGTTAAATTTCCTGTAATGATAGTTTTAATATGACCATCACGTAAAGCTGGATACAGATTTCATAACTTCAAGTGAATTGGACACTGCTATTATTCATAACAAGCAGGCTCATAAAAAGAAACAAGCTCATGAAAATTTTACGCATGGTCAAATCCTGCATACCAGGAAGGAGGGTAACACTGAATATCAGCCTTACTTGTTCCATTTTAATTGTCTGCAAAGCTGCAGTGAATTAATGAGTCATGTTAATGGAAGCTTCAAGGAAGAGAAGATTGTGTCATTTTTACACATCAACTGTGTAATAAGGAATTGATTCAGTTTTAGAGTAATTCACTTCGAACTTATAGGAGTCCCAAACTTTAATAGACTGTCAATGGCAGAAACCTAAGGCACCACTGAGCCGTTAAAACACAGATGTGTCCCTCACCAAGGTCTATAGTTGAGAAAACTTTACAATAAAACAAGAAAAGAGCTTTATAGACTGTACAGTTATAACTATATGGCAGAGTTTTTATAAATGCAACTAAATGCCACTGTGGTTAGACCAAATAATCAAACATCTAAAGCAAAAGTATAAAAGATTCTGGTTTGGATAGTTTAATTTTGTTCAATAATTGGCTTCACAATTAAGTATAACATAACAGAAGGATGTATAAATGAAATGAATCATGTGTGTCTACAAAATTTGAGCTTGTTGGTATAAGATTGCATTCCTTTTTTCGTTTTTTTTCCATTTCATTCTCCAAGCTTGCAATTATGCTGCCATTGTTGCTCTGTTTTTTTGGGTCTTGTTTTTCATTATTTGGCCAAGTCTGGTTTTGTCGCTGAGTATTCTATAATGTAATTGCAAACAAGATAAAATACGTTTGAAGATAGCAGGTGTGCAATTCAAGCATACCAGAACAGATTTGTGCAAAAGACTCTCACAATATGTATTTAAAAACTATTCTAGAAACCATAGAACTCTATTGCATGTTCTGTGAGAAGTATTTTAACAGAAAAGGTAAATTGGTAAATGACCATTAACCTTTTTGGTTTTTATTGTAAATACAAATATGATATTATGTTAAAATTAATAAATCCCTCTCCTTTTGATTACGGAGGATTAGATGGGGACACCATTAAATAAATGATTATAGCGAAATAAATAAATGTGAATTCATCAAGACATTAAAAAATGTAACATGAACGTAACCTCTATCTGTGGTCTTAACTCGTGTTTCTTGCACAGTGCAAACTTTAGATTTGCTGCACTTTTTGTGCAACTTGTCATTTATCAATGGTCTCAAGTAGCGCTGCATTTATATTTGTAATACTTTCTATAAATAAGAATATGTTCCAGCCCTTATTGTTATTTATACCTTATGCTCCTTGCCTTGCTGCATTACTATCATGCTGCATTTTCATTTCCCTATTTGGGATCAGCAAAGTACATCCAATCTAATCAAATTAAATAAATAAATGTACAATGGTTGATTATTTTTTGCATATTTACTTTAGCACTTAAACATCCTGGACATTCTAGGAATTTTCTGTTAATTTTTGTAAATCAAAGCTGCAGTAAAAATGTGATGAATCCCAAGTGTTCTGATAAGCAAGCTACCAGAGTTTGAATTTTAAACTAGTATCTTTAAAGTTGTTGAAAGTAGGTGTTAAGGTTTAAACTACCTGACAGCAGACAAGAAATACAGCCACAGCCAATGAGCCACAGGATTTTAGGCACGCATTACAATGCAAAACGTATGGCAACTGCAAGTTACTTTTTAGCTATGGTACGAACACCTAGCTGTCTTTTTCAAAATAATTGCCACAGTACTTTCGGAGAAATTGTCCCAAACAGAGAAGCTGTTACTAAGTCTGAATATTTTTCTATTTTCCTTTATCCTATAAAACCTAATAAATTGACAAAAACAAACTCTGACGGTCTTAAGATGAAGTCTGTTTTACAACCATCTAAGAGACGTCCAAGTCCTTTGAAAGGTGCCTCATTTTAATCTATATTTATCTCTGTATTTATTTCAATGGGTATTTTTAGATTATTAAAATATACTGTAATTGAAATGTTACTTGATTTCAATAAATCAATTTAAAGAAGAAGTCACAGTTTTTACTTTACTACTTTACTACTATTACTTTATCTAAATTAATTACTCTAGGAGTTATATAACTACGCACTGAATGTTGTTGATTACTATAAAAGTGGAAGTCAGGCGATGAAACCTAAAAAAATAAGGTTATCGGAAAATTCAAATCTTACATAAAAGCAGTATAAAAGCGTATTTTTAATACAGGATTATTATTGCCACATAATGGCGTACAGATTAATAGAGAAAACTGTTGATTTAGCAGATGTCCAGTAGACAGTCATTCACACTTTAATTGCTGAAGAAGCAGTTTTTTTAACAGCTTGCTGTATCCAAGCATACTGCTGGAATATTAAGTAGAGAAAACAGTATAACAGAAAAAAATGTTTTTAATAATATCCCAATTTACCCAGATTAACTTGTGTATTTTACCGAACCTCGTACATTTTTTGTATTCCAGGCTGTATGTCTTACATATTGTTTTTTTTTTCTTTTTTTATGTCTATAGTAATAGTTAAAATACAGATTTGTGAGGAAAATGTTTTTCTATATAAAAATGTTGTTTAAAAGCAGTAGGAGCTTTTGTGTCTGGAAAGGGGTTTTGGGATTACAACACAATCTTGAGCTAATCTATAGGGCTGATCAGTAAAGCGGTAGTTGGCTCTATCACCTTAGAACATGTCTCTGCAGGTCTGACTCAGCATTTAGCTGTACCACAAAAAGAAAACTGCCAGATGTTCTGTGCTGGATGTCTTTACAAAAGCTAGATCTACACACAGGGCAAGTTTACATCCAAACCCTTGTTTTATTTATTGTGTCCAAAGAATTATCTTATTAAAAGGAAATCCTCTAAAAATGTATGTTCCTTTAGTGAGAAGGGGAGAATAAAAAAGGGAGCTGGGGGGGTTTGGATTTAGTTTCTGGAAAATGCTGTCTATTTGGAGGGTGGATAATTCAGTTAACCCACTTGATGCTCCTAGCCTGACACTTTCTTTAAATCAAGAGATATCAAGACTCACTTTCTGACGGAACACCGCCTGTGTATTTAATATCAGTGGTTTCTCTTTGATGACAGCTTTTGTTGTTGGTTATGACTTGACTGTCAATTCAGATGCAGATCACTCAGTAACAAATTCAGGGTACAGTGGGAAAAGCTCCCTTTACTACTTTTTTTCCCCCTTTTTTACATGCGTCAAGTGCTAACAGACGTATTTCTCTCTTTGATAGCTTTATTTGTTTTAGTTTATTGTTTAATCTCGGTTGTTAATTTTAAATACTTAAAATACCTTAGGTTTTTTTTTCTTTTTAAAAATTTAGCAGCAGCTTTGCCTTATAAAAAGCTGCCTATAGAAAAATAAAATGTGACATGGATCTCGGCTTGAGCAATTTCAACATATGTGTTTAGGTTACCATAACAACTGATTAAAAAATTTATTTAAAGCATGGTTTCAGAAAAAAATAAATTAATGGCAAACTTAGTGATTTCCATGTGGCATGGGATTAGAATCAGCTAATGATTCTTCATGCAGATATTTTTATTATTTTCTCCAAAAAATATTTAGATAGAGCTTATTCTAATAACTGGATGGGCTTTTTTGTGATACCAAACCAAAGCAGCATCTAGTCTCCCAGATGTGAGCTTGATGTGAATATCTTGTTTGTTTTTATTTACTATTTGTAAGTCTCCAGGGCACTCTCCTTCCAGACTGACTGCATCTCATCACATGCCAACCAAGGTACTTTGTGAGTCTGGCTGGAGAGCAGAATGGAAGAATTGTAGCAGTGTGAAAGAAAGGACAGCTGCAGTGGTCCCCTCCCAGCTGCTGTGTGTTAACCCATGTACTGCTCGGGGCTTGGCTTTCTAAAGTACTGACCAGTCAAACAAAGCTCCTTTTCACATTAAAACTTTGCTGCTCTTCACTAAAAAATTAATCCTAAAACCTGTTTTTTATCATTATTTTATATCTGATAGACTGCAGGGCATTAAAACTGGAACGAGATGTCTGAAAGTATATCTAGTGTTATCTCTCAACAACCTGTATGTTGAGGATGAATTTAGTTATGTGCTGATTATTTTTTCTCAGTCAGTATTTAGTCAGTATTTAAAATATAGCATAGTATAGTGTAATATAGTAAGATGATAAACCAGTGGTGTTTAAAGAAATATTTAGCTGTAGAAGCTGTTAAGCTTTACTTTTTTAATACCAACAATAATCAGAACAACCAACATGACACAATATTGTTAGAAAGCCATTTGATTGGCAAATATTTATGTACACAACTCCATTCTACTTTTGTTGCACATACAAAAAAAATAAATAAAATAACCTGGACAATAATGAAAGGACTCTGAATGATATTGGAAGACCCTACAATTTATAAGCACAATTTTATTGAAATGAAAGTATTTTTGAGGTGTTGTCTTTTTTTAAGTTGACTCATTTTGAATGATCATCCATCTTTATTCTACTAAGCAATGATAGTCAAATTTATACACCAGAGGAGAAGATGCAAGATCCAATCCAAAAAATGAACAAATGAACCACAACAGCCACTGTAGTGTGAGCTAGTGATCATTGGTTTTGACTCTTATTTCTTCAGAAGTGAAACACACTTAAATATGTAAAGTCCATGGCCA